GGGGGGGGTATCTGCACGAACAGCTTGCCGAGTGTGCCACCAGCTCGTGCTCACTCTCACCTCACATGGCACACCAAGCCCCGAGGACCGTTTAATCCACACGGCGGCGGTTTAAACGGCGAGCAATGACTCCACAAGCCTGCTCGGTCGCTCCTCTGCTCCCGCAGACTCCCGCCGTCTGCGAGTTCAAGCGACACGAGGCCTGCCTCGGAGGCGGCTCCAGGAGAACGTTTTAGCTTCGCTCCACTTCCCCAGCGCGGAGACAAACCTCATGGGAAACCATGCTGTTGCATTAGCGATACAACACAATACCTGAGCGATTAGCATGGCGGGCAGATCTCATACACCGCACCTGTAGAATCGATTACAGTGCCGCAGTTTCCGCAGCGACAAAGCTTCTGCATTCGCAGAATTTATTAAAATGACAGGCAAGCGGCTGGGTAGCCCAATAGTTTGTATATCTTTAACTGTACAGTCTAATTAACGCTACACAAACGAACAGAGGCAAAGATTACTTCACCTCTTTGCAAGGCTTAATTTGCTTTTTAAGTGGCAAGCCTCAATAATTTGTGCAAATCAATCGCTCAATTCAGTTACACAGTCACTCCTCTTACCATGCTGGTTTGTTGTCATATACAAGCCCTTAGCTTAACTCACCATGTGGTCTTCTGCAGAGATATTCCTTGACACCAGTAAACATGCTGTATGTCTGCCATTCTTTGTGAAAGTAAAGTCAAGCTAGCTGGGAAGATATTTCCTAACTGTGTGTCACTTCAAGCTTATTCATAAATATTCATAAGTCAGACGGTTTCTCAAGCACTGGTTTGCACTACAGAGGAAGGCATTGACACCTCTAGTTATAAATAAAGGTATCAACTATAACTGTAAAAAAAAAGGAAAGCCATTTCTTTCATTAATATAGCAACAGACTACTTTGTTTTTAATTTCTCTTTCGATAGCATCTGAAATTCAGACTAGGCTGACAGTGTACATAAAGGAAATAAAAAGTAACAACACAGGACAGCAGGGAGCTTTAATTAAAATTAATCTGAGCACTTTTCACCTAGAAACATACCGGCAACTCTGCACATTTGCATTAAAATACACTGCTTTCTGCCCATCTCGCACTGTACAGACATGAGCCAGCTTATCCACTAAACCTGTCGCAATAATTGTCTGGTATTATATCAGCGTTTCCCAATTTCACAACACAGAAAAGCATACTGCTGAAATACCTTCGGAAGCAATGCCCCTTCAAACTGCCCGGCTGACAGTGAAAGTTAGGAAACCCAGGTCTATGAGTGACACTGCCATCCACCCCAACCACACCCAGCGCAGAAATACCGAACGCGCATTTCATGAAACCCTTACGAGCCCCCGCCGAGAGAAGAAGGCTAGCAGCACACGTCACACCTGAGAGCACTGGCGGACATGCGATACAGGAGAAACGCCGTGCAGCCTGTTAGCTCAGACTCTAATTATAGGAATACACCATTCCAGCAGCTTAATTACCTATTACCATACAGGTGTCAACACAGCTAACCGCCATGTAGCCCTAAGCTAAGACTGAAAGACCAAGCGAGGACACGGTCAGGGGTGTGGTGCCTGGCGAGCTCGAGGACGGGGGAGACGAGCGGTGAAAATCCGGAACAGCAACAGGACCCAACCCCCCGGGAAAGAAGGCGGAGGAGGGTCAGCGGAAAACGGGAAGAATGAGTGGCAAATCCCGGAAGCAGTGCCGCTCGGGATCTTGGCGGGGAAGCCGCCGGGCCAGAGCTCGTCTCCTAGCGAGAGCTACGTAGGTGGAAGGCAGTCCGGCATTCGAGTTCGTCTGAAAAAGATTTAGCGGCGCGATGGTTTGGCTGTGATAAATGAGGCGCAGGCTGAGGCCCAGTGCACTGGTCCAGCCTGAAAGTGACTGTTCAGAAGCAGTGCTGTAGGGTGGCATCCGTGAATGTGATAATACATCTCCTATTAGCAGGCAGCACAGTAAGCACCCTATATACTGTTCCAATTATGCGTAGAAAAGCCATCTTTGTTCCGTTTAATAATATCCTGTGCTCCCTGCTGTGAAAAGATGACCACACAGAAAAAAAAAAAAAAAAAGCCTTTCATTGCACTGTTTTCTAAACTTTGTTTGTGGGTTACGCGTAAACAAACTGATATGCAGAATGCCTGAGGAATATTATTTCAGCCACATTTACAAAATGCTCTCACGTGCCAGTCAGCTGCAATCCCTTAATCACACAGCAAAAACCCCACACGTATCTGTTTCTGTCCATCATTAATTGTTCGCCCGATAAAACTCAGCATTCATTTCGGACACCAGCATACTGTATACCTTTCAACACTGTTTTTTTGTTGGTTTTTTTTTGCGCGTGCTGGTCCTATATTCCCACTTCATAGCTGCCGTATCAATCGCGCCTCTGTCACAACACCGGAAATCGCACTCCCGAATTAGGCAGCCCGGGTGGCTAATTGGGTGTCCTGGACTCACACTACCTGGAGCGTTACGAGTTCAAGTCCCAGCTGGGACACCGCTCATGGACTCCCGAGTAAAGCAGCCTTCTTTACTGAGACTGTGCCAGCAAAACGCCCAGCAGCACAGACCCATACAACCGCCGTAAATCTTTTTGGGATAAAAGTGTCGGACATATAAATTAAAGACAATAAAACAAGGCACCGAGTCAGTCAGTCAGTCAGTCAGTCATTTCGGCAGCTGTGAACGCCCAGCCCGCGGATTTAGAAACATCCCCGAAAGGAATTAACAGTTATCTTCAACCACCGCACAACGAAGTGAGACCAGAGCACGCAGACCGTAGCTCAGCTCTGGAGTGGAAAAAAAAAAAAAAAAGACAAGAGGAGCGGCGCAGACTGTTTGGGAGCACCTAACCGCACTGCCACGGCCGATGCAGTCCTGCTCGTGGAGGTCAGAGACTCCGTAAACCCACCCAACCGGCAAGGTGGGACCTTCCAGCGGACGAGCTGTAAAACAAACAGGCTCCACCCTCCTTTCACAAAGGGAACGGTGGCAGCCGAGCACACTCCTCTCAGTGGCAGACACCCTGGGAGAACGTCTGGTCTAGTCGAGTACGCGTTGCCCCTTGTTTTTTTTTAGTTTTTTTTTTACAAGCTCAGCCACCGGGTCACCAGGTAAAAAGGAGCAAGCACAACGCAGCAGCCCCACCCCACAGGCCTGCGTGGGTAAACACCAGGCGGCCGATTTCCTGTTCTGCGACAGAGAGACCTGCAGCAAGCCGCAACAGGGCAGGCCGTCCGCAGAGCCTGAGCACACTGCCACAGACCGGCTGGGCCTACCTCGGCCCGAGACTCGGAGTCTGCTCTCGGGACACACAAACACTGAGGGTGTCCTTGGGCCCTTGTCCCCTAGATCAAGGGCTTCCCGCCCTGGGCCTAACGTCCCGGAGGCCCGAACACACACACACACACACACCTGCTTTGGCTTTGGTTCCAGCCAAGCCCTCCGTCACACAATCGAACCCTCAGCCGACTGGGCACTAACAGGATCCGCCTGACCGTTCCCGGCCCTCCCAAGCTCCGGGACGTCGGCCGCCGAAAACCCCAAACTTTTGAGAAACTAGCATGCTTTTTTTCTTTTTATCCCTCCCCCCCGTAACCCAGAGCCACCGAGAACCATTAATCCAATTAAGTCTTCAATTTGGGTCATTAAGCTTGGGTGGGGGGGCAAATCCCAGATTGTGAGGGATCCCCCCCCCAGGGACTGGATTGGGAATCTGGGAAGCCAACCCTACTCATGCAGAAAAAAAAAAAGACACCCGTTGAAAGTAAAAACTCCTGCCAGAATCGCAGGAACTGCTCCTATCCACCTTGGTGCTGCAGAGTACACCTCCGGACAAGCAGCCCCTGGCCTGAGGAGTCAGGTTCCACCTGGTTTTAGGGTTAAGAGCTGGCAAGCACAGCTCACTGACCTTCCCGTCCAATTCATTCGTCCAATTAAGACATCAAGGTGCCCCTGTAAGCCAGGAACAAAGGCAGCGCAGCAGGGGTGGAGCTCCTCACCCCTGGCTTACAAGCAGGGGAGAGTTTCAGACAGATTTCGCCACCGTGGGCATTAGGGTTAGGGCTGGAGTGGATATGTTCGTCTCCAGCCCACGCAGGGGGCGGGAGGAGGCAACGGTATCTCCCGCGGAGATATCGACAGCGGCACGACCCGACCCCCGCAGGAGAGTGGAGATCACTTCGACGGCCAAATCGCCGAAGTGTCACACCTACCGCCGCACACCAGTGCTCCTTCAATTGCAACCTGCCTGCTGCCCTCCCCCCGCCACCAGCTCAAAATCTGCAACAGTGCGCTAACCTGACAGGGAAGAATCAGCGCTAAAAGTGCATTTCTACTGTATAAAGAACAGAAATGCACACGATATGGATTAACCACCATGACACCTCAACAGCTATGACACCAGCTACAGCCGAGATCATTTCCCTGAAGAACACGCAGTCCAGGCTGAAACTGCCAAGTTTAAAAAAAATAATAAAAACAGCACAAATGCTGTATTTTGGGGGCATTTTAAGATGCACCTCTAACATACGCTCAGGACAGTTATTACTTATCAGAACTTGGAGATGTGACCTTAACTGAAATTCTATGTGGGGTGGAAAAAACCCAGAACTATTAGGTTTTCTAAGCAGTGCGATGTCGGCGTACTGTCACATGTACGAATTGGTGCGCAACACGTATCTTCCATTAAGACCCGAGAGTCAAGAGCCAAGGGCTCTGTCACAGCTGTATATAACCCGACTGGCAACGCATCACTGCAGCTGCCCGCTGATAAAACACACGTCCAAAGGCATCGGCTTACAAGGGTGAAAATGTGCTTTTTTAAATGACACGCAGGGCTCGCGTTATGTCTCAAGCACGGCTAAATCACATGGACCCAAGCACGACGCGCGATAAAACTCCACAAAAAAACCCTCACCTGAATCCTCCCTGCCCGCAGAATCCAACCGACTCCTCAGCCAGTCCTCGGCGGTCGGTCCGCACTTCTTCTCTTGTATGTTTTTAGTTATAATAACGTCGAGACGTCACGGCTGTCGAAGCCAGGCTACACCGTGCGAAAAAAAACTGGAGCTCTCGCGAACCGCACCAGAAAAGAAATATATTTATATATAAAAACGGCCGCGCTGAAACTGAGCAACCACTGTAGCTATAAAGCTGACTAAAAAGAAGAGGGGGGGAAACGCCCTTTAAAAAGTCTAGACGAGCGGTGGGGAGAAACGCTGGTCAGTTACCGTTTCATAGCGCTAGTACGCAGTACGAGTCGCCTCCATTTTAGGGGAATCCCTCTCTGCGCGCGGCTCGAGGGCGGGGACTCCAGGGAGCACGAGCTGGCTGCCATGCGAGCGCCAGCCTGGGCTCAGCCCCGTCGCGCGCGGCGGCGGCGCGGACGGTCCCCATTGATCCCCGCCGCCCGCCGATTCCTGATCGTCACGATTACCGATCGGGGGGGAGGGGGTGTGGTGGGGTTGCCGGGGCTGTCGTCAGCCGGGACCTTAAACCGTGACAGAACCGATGTAGATATATTCAGAGATGCAAGTTTCTGATCATTTTCTCTGGGAGGTGTATCAAAGCGCGGCTTTCTCTTATTGTTTGATTTGTTCGAATCTCCCCTCCCCTCCCCACCTTATCGATTGAAACAAAAAACAAAACGAAAAACAACCAACACACACCCCCCCGCCGCTCAGTCCACTCCGCGAGCGCGCGTGACTGCGCCCCGGCGGTGGCCGGGGAAGGGCGGCTGCTGCCATGGCAACCCCCCGGCCCGACCCCACCCACGCGCCCCGGCCCGGCCGGCCGCGAGGAGACACGGGTCGACCCGGACCCGTATGGAAAGGGCATCCGTGGTGAATGTCGATTTGTGCTGAGTAAAAAAAAAGGTGAAACGTTTCATGAAGTCGTTGAGCTATAGAGGTCAGTGGCACAGCGTACTGTAAGAGATGAATGCGGTGATGAAAGTCCGGCAGAGCCTTCTTGAAACCGATCGCGCTTTCCACGGGAGATGTGTTGTATGATATATGATGTCGTTTAACCCAATACTTCAACAGTCTGTTACTGACTTTTTATTTTACAAAACAGCTTGATGCTCTACATGTCTAAACTGGGAGAAAACAAGAAATGGGGATAAATAATTGAAGATGAAGTAACAAATAAATGAGTATTGCACCCATTTTTGTACAGTAGAAGGTGTCAATAACAGGCTCTGTTATACAGACAGGGGGTATGAGTTTAAGGTAGGTCTTGACATCCTCAGTGTTTACAGACCTGGAACAGTTTCACCTTGATCAGCTCAACAGCGGCTTTGTTCACCTGAGTAATGCAAAGATGATTTGGAACAGATATCAGGACATCTTTCAGCATCCAGCTTGAACTGCGTAATTGATCTTTTGTCCGAACAAGTGTCCCTATATCCACTGGACTGCAGCTCCTTCAGGACCAGGGCTAGAGAGTCGGAATGTCGGGAAGGTTACAAGCATGGGGAAGCCATTTGGTAGTTAATTGATCTCAGGATCTCACGCAGCTCTTTCCTGAAAGAAACCAGGATGCTGGCTTTCACAACATGGCTGAGTGGCTTGTCCCTCCCTCCCATAGCCCTCAGCCTGCTGTCCTCTGTTCTAAATGCCCACCCACCAACTCCACCAGCACTGGGCGAAACTATCAGAACTTACAGTCAGGTTTTACAGGGCCAGGAAGGTTAAAAACCAGATTCAGTCTGTCTTCGGTTACCGGTACAGCCATGGAAATGACGATGCTAAATCAGAAGAACTCGGGAAGAGATGGCATTTTAAAGAGACAGCTGACACGGATTTAGAAATGGAAGGTCATGTTTAACTATCTAGAATTCCTTGTGCAAGCAACAAGGACAAAAGTTAGATAACAACAGAGTAAATGATGTGGGATATTTATTATTTAAGAAAGCTTTTGATAAGGTTCCTCATACCAGTTGATTCTCCAGTTAAAAGCCACAGGAATCCCAGAGAATGTCTGCACACAGTTTCAGAGCAGGGTGCCAAGCTGGGGTCAGCAGGGGGTCTGGTTTAGGACCACAGATCTGTTTTAGGCCTGTTGCTTTTCCTGATCTCCATCCACCACTCTGATTGTAATGCCACACGGACTGCCTGGGGTTCAGAGTACACATGTGTGTGAGATTTGAAATTCAGGGCAGTTATACGTAGACTTTGCAATGTAACACCGCAACCTCACTTAGAATACTACCATATTACACCATAACGCATGTGATCTTACCACAAAATGATATTACATCCTTAACAACAGCTCAAAGAATGGTCTCATGTCATATAGATTCAGGTTAAGGGAGTGAAAGCTCTTCAGTGTAGAATAAAGGCAATAGAGAGGAGATTTGATGAAAGTACTGTACTGTATGTAAAATCCTAAAGGCTCCAGTCAGGGTTAACTCAGGGGACTATTTCACACCCAGTAGCGAAACAGGGACATCAGGTCACATCTATAAACTGAAATGGAGTCAGTTTAGGAAGGACAGTAGGAAATGAGTCTCTACACAAAGAGTTGTGGGTGTTTGGAACAGGCTTCCTAGTAAAGGGGTTTTTTTTTTCAAAGTGCTCAGACCCAAGTGGGCCCTTTGAAACAAAAACAAACACCTGGACAAGCGTTTAGATTCGCTCAGCCATGAAGCTACCAGACAGGCGACACAGGCAGAACGGCCTCCTCTCAGGTGCAGCTTGCGCTTCTGGAGAGGAACGTTTGCTCTTTTCCCGGGGAGGGGGGGGCGTCTTGTCGCCTTCTCTTCGGCTAAACCCTGAGCAGGATCGGTCAGGCCAGGACTTCCCCCAGGCCCGGGCGCCAGTGCCTGCAGCAGGGAGGTCAGCCCATTACTCCCTTTCGCGCTCCGGATTTTCCTCCCAGGGCAGAACGGCTCGTCCCCCGGCCCCCCCGGACCTGCTGCCCGTGGCAGAAGCGCTTCTCCTTTTGCAGAAAGAGATCCGCTCTCGCGGACGCTCCCTTTGTCTCGAGTTCCTCTTCCCCCCCTGCCCGTTTCCAAACCTCACCCGGCCTCAGTCGGACCGCGCCTTGGAGCAGACCCTGTCGATTCTGCCGAAGAGCGCCGCTCGCTGGAGATTCAGCGCTGCTCCTGTGCTTGGGTGCAGTCTGTGCCGCCGTCTGAACTAACGTTTGTCTGCACAGGGCTGAAAAGTGTGTGTGTGTGTGTGTGTGGGGGGGGGGTTGAAGTATTTTTGCATAGATGCAGCACAGTGCTGCAAGTCTCTCGCTGAGCTTCCCCGCACGATGCTCGCAGCAATCATAAGAAAAGGTCGTCTGAATGTTTTGCATCTCTTGTGTGTCATTTGAATGTAAAGAAATGGAGGCTATCAGTTAAGAATGATCCGGGAGCCGTGGTTAGGTTGCTGGACGTGTCCCTGGACATTTCTGGGTCCAGATCCCGAGTGGCCCTCGAACAAGACGCTTCCCTTGGACTGTACAGTACCAGTAAAACTTCCAGCTGCATGAATGGGAGAAAATGGAAGTTGCTTTGGATAAAAACGTACAGCAGGTTAGTGAAAGGAAGATCCCAGTTTGAGCTCCACTGTGTATATTGGCTTTAATATAAAGGCTCCTTTAGACACAGCGCCACGCAGTTGTTACTCTCTTCAGTAGCCTGTTATGGTGATCATGTTCACAAAGGACTTTGGAGTGACAGGTTACAGCACAATGCATATTTACTGGTTCAGAAAAATTCTGAAATGGCTAACAAGCCGTGGACAAAAGTCTCCTTTCGATGTATTGAATGCATTTCGGCAGCTTTCTGATAAAGGAAGGGCGTGCAGATAAATGTGTTTCAGATTTCTAGCACAGTCACATTGTTAAATCAACCAAGCCTGGCAAGCGATTAGTTCAATTTAGCCATTAAGGTCCCAGGTGAGGAGCAAACCAGACATCCCTGCCACCCTCCCAGCCTGGAGCAGTAGAGCTCTCTTTCTGTAGCCCGAGGCTCCCAACCGTAAAGAGCACCACAGCGATTGGTTTTAATGGCTGTTTATCCAGTTATGTGCTCATTAACTCAATATGTCCGTTTCTCTGCTCAGTCAGCCTTGTTATCTGTCCTCACAGAGGCCGCCATCAGTGCTGGTTGCACTCGGTCCACTGTGAGCCCCCCCCTCTCTCCACACCCCTCCGCTCCGGCCCCTGATCCTCTGGGTTTTGCCCAGCTGACTGCAGCTCATCACGGCTGCATGCGCAGAGCCCATATAATCAATGGTGCACCAACCGGAGCAGTAGCTGGCTATAGGAGCCCTGCAAAACCCTGCCCGTTTTTCAGTTTACAATCAGGCAATACTGTTCGATCCTCTTCTTAGCGCTGTTTGCAACAAGATCACATCTGCATTAACGATCTTCACGAGATTTTTCAGAAGATCATAGTTTCAACAAACAAGTTCCCCTTTTTGCACCCGGCGTAGATTTCAATTAAAGGAAATAAGAAGCAGAAAGAAGGAAATCATTTTCTGCATAATTTCCAATAACGTTTTGTCTTTACTGTATGTTTGTTTTTTTCCCTATTGTGAAGCAATGGCAGCAGCAGTCTTCGCGCCTATAGGGATATTTTCAGATCATCCTCTGCAGAATACTGCTGAGAAGATATATGACCTGCTCAATTAAGCCTTCTAATTAGCTCAGTTAAACAATTGAGCGCTCTGCTGCCCCCTTCTGTCCTCAAGCAAAGGAGAGTGACACGTATCCCCCTAGACAGGCTGTTGCCAGTGGATATTTGTGTCCCTTTGCATTGCAGATATTTCTGAATGTGTGCAAGGCCCGTCCCCTCTCCTCTGAAAACACTCATGAGGTTCCCCTGCACGCCAGGCGAAACAATGTGCTCAGCTAGGATCCGGCACGTCTTCACACAGACGAGCAGGGTCTTGGGGCCAGGCAGGGAGGGGGCTCTGGCAGGTGAGTGATTTGTCCTTTTAATAATATAATGATATCTTGCCCTTGCCCCACCTGCCTGCTCTTTTCTATCAGTGCAGGGGCTCTTGATGGAAAAGTGACCTTTTAGATAGATAGAGCACTGCTTGTAACCAACAGCTTCATACCTACATGAAAAGAGCAGAGCCCAGTGCAATGAGGTAATGTCCTCGAGGCCATTAATCACAGACATGCACAGCGGCGCCACGCTGTGTTACTGAGAGATCTGTCTGTAGGTGTGCATGCTCGCTCACAGAGCTGCTCTGTGGAAGCCAGCCTTAGCTCATCCACTCAGTGCCAGTAAATTGCAGAGCTGAAACTTAAGTGCTCATTTAACCCGGATGCTGCAGATCGCCATGATCATTAGGGATGGGCTGGAGCACAGACGTGCAGGGGAGTGGATGGGACGGAGGTATCAAGGCCGACCAGAACCCTGAGCTCTTGGAGAATCACCGGTAGGAGCTCCCCCCTGTGGCAGTGCAGGGAACAGCATTTGTCACCACAGACCCGGCCAAAACTCGAGCCTGTGAGTGCTGAAGAGGCCTGCAGTGTGACACATGTCAGGAAAGTCGCTGTTCTCTCACTGCTGACTGAGCCCCCCCAGAGGCTCAGGGAACCTGCACAGCCTGATTGGAGGTCAAAGGTTGCGTTAGGAGCTGGTAGCACATGACCGAGAGGGTGCCCCCCCTTCCCATGGCCCAGTTCCGCCACAGCCCAGCCCTGTAGCTCTCGCCTGGGAATGGAATTTAACACTAGAGCTTCGTGGGAGAAACCCTTGACAGCTACTGTCATTTTGGAGAGAAAGTGATAAAACACAGCTTTTGTGCCAGTACTCACACAGGTGTGTTTTAAAATCAGTAGTGTTACCAGAATCATCCTACCTGATAGGTTGCAGTGTTAAAGTCAAGCAGTCCTGTATTTCAGCCTGTCCACCGAGGCCAGTGAAACAGTATGAGTGGATGTCAGCAATATTATTTTGGGGAATAGCGCATTACCTCTGAACCGATCAGTGACCGTTCAGTTTCTCAAGATTGGACCAAACACGCCCTCTTACGCACACCCATGCTGGGATGTGGACAGCAGGAAAAGTGCCACAGAGGAATCCTGCTTCACTTTCATTCCCAGCATTCCCTGCCCTTGAGCTGCATGGTCAGGGCAGACTGCCTCCTTCTCTCACGAGGGGGTGGACGGGCAGTGGGAGAGAAGAGGGACAGATAAAGAGAGAGAGATAGCTGGAGCTCCCTGTCCGTCTACATTTCTGATTGAGAACGCGAGGAGGATACGTCAGTGAGGTTTAAATGTCACAACAGCGCGCAGGTGTGCTGACAGGAAGCCAGCGCTCTGTGCACCTGCAGTCGGGCCAGCAGCTGTGCCGACAGCTCAGCTGGGAGCCACTGCTCCAACACCCCAGCTACACACACACACACTCGGGCTCCTTCCGCGCTCCTGCTCTCGCACACAGCCTGTCCTCCTGCAGCCTCTCACACCCCTCCACCGCACAATCTCTTATCCCGCCTTGCGTGTCCCCCAGCAGTCCGTTTCCCCCTCTCCCCGTCTTTCTCTCCAGTCACCCTTGCAGCCACGAATGACCCACGGGCCTAATGGGCAGGGGATCGCCCCAAGATCCACAGCTCTCCATTCAAATTGGGCTGTTCGCTGGCAGGCGGTTCGCACCTGCCTCTTGAGCACCGCCCCCAGGGCGGAGGCCAGCGTGGGTGGAATGCGATCGCGTCCCCGTGCGGCCGGAGAGCTGGCCATCTCCTGCTCAGAGCCCCTCCCGGAGCAAGACCAGGCCTGCCCGGACACAGCCACATTCCTGGAGGAGGGGAGAGGGTCAGGGAAGGAGAGGAGAGATGGGAGAGCAGGATCCCTCCTGCCCCCCCTCGCCGCTGGGCAGGACACGTGTGCCCATGGAGCACAACTCCAGAAGCAGACGGCCTCCAGCAGCAATTGCCCCCTCACCACACCACCCCCACCCCCACCCCACTCACTTTTCTTTAGAAGCAAAGCACCTGAAATTCACCATGAGGCAGGAGTGTGTTACAGGCTGCGGGCTGTGCCGGGACTCGGGAAGGTGTGGAAGGCCCTTGTAAACCGAGAGATCCTGCTCCAGCATCATAAGGGGTTTGGAAAAATCCGTATTGAGCCTCCACTGTGCGAAATGGCAACAAAAGGAAACAGGAGTCAGTAGTTCTCAGAGTGCATCGAGAAGCAGAATCTGGTCTTGAGAAGCTCCCCTGCGAGCCCTCATAGACCCATCCCTCTGTCCCAGCCTGGGATGACCTACTGACACAAGCCCTCCCAGCCCCGAGGTCTGGCCAGAAGCTCACTTCCAGGCACTTCCAGCTGACCCCTTCCCGGCTCGGACTGTTTCTGGAGTCTGCGGAGCGAGGCGCTGAACGACGCCCCATAGTTCACCAGGATGTGTTCTCCAGCACGGGGCCCTCTTTCCTCCAGTGCTTCAAGGGAAACAGCTTTTCCCTCTCATTCCAAAAAAAACAAAACAAGCAACCTCACGTACAAGCTTGCAGTGCTGTAGATTTACATCCCAGTATGCAAAACCTGCTTATTCTGAACTAGACAGATATGTAAAACAGAGCAGGAGTGCAACCAGAGGTCAGCATTCATAGACCCAGAGAGATCCGATCAGGAGATCTCACAGTTGAGCTCTAATTAAAAAAAAACAGTTGTTAAACCATGGGATTGTGAAAGGACAACTCTCTCTTTATATATATGAAGTACTAAGACATTACCTTAAAGTAGTGCTTCCCGATCCGAAGGGAACGCTGTATGTCCTGATTAATGTTTCCACTGGGTGTTTAATTCCAGGATAATTGACTCTGCTATTCTGTCTGGGGCATACAATCCTAAAAACTCCTTCTACGTAATGTGGCACTCCTCATCCCTGGGGGCACGGAGGAGGGACGTGTCAGCTCCCACCTGGGTGACACCATGCTGCCCCCTCTGCACCGCAGGAAAGGGAGACCGCAGTGACATTTTAAAACTGTACAACTAACTTACAGAAGACAACACGCTCGAAGTAGGCTTTTTCTGAAACTAGAGACCGAGTGCAAAACAAAAGTAAATCACAAGTCTAAACAAGTAAGCTGATCAATTAAAGCCATCTATCAGCAGCAGAGTTTTAGAGCTGATCTGGAACAAAAACCAGCCCACAGCGCCGGTAACCACTGATTACATCTACTTGTTACAGTTTATCTGCCAGTTTATGATATAATTCTGCTGGCGGTTTGATTAAAGAAGTTTTTCACACCGGCTCACCGGTCCCTCAGGACCAGAGGGCACCCGTTACTGCTCTGTCCTCCTGACTAGTGTGTGATTGGCCTGCAGATGAAGAGAGAAATCGTCTAACTGCACAAGTAAGACCAGGTGGGATTCAAGAAGGGCTATTATAATACACCGTCCTGTCGGAAAATCTAACTTGGGCACTGGGGAAGGAAATTCAAAACTAATTAGAACCTTGTACATTATAACTTATTTGAGGTATCAAGTCAAAATATCAAAGTCAAGATAGCATTTACCCTGTATCGAGCGCCCTCTGGTGTTTAAAAGCATTAAGCGTCACAGTCGTTCTGTCTGCTGTTCCTGATATCTATGGTCTCCAGTGTCTGTCCTCCTCAGGGCCGGAAGGACGTCACAGGGCAGCACCTGAGCGCCACCTGTCGACCAGCTCCGGAACAGCGGGCAGGATCCTACTGTAGTCCTGCATCAACTTTCCTTTCCTTCAATCTTGTGGGTGCAAATCAGAAAGTTTTGGGAATTCCTCACAAAGAGGCATGCAAAACGCGAGGCCGCTTGTCTGTGCGAAGATCAAATCAAACTGCGGTGGCTGAAAACCAGTCTGTACAAAAGCTTGGACAGCAACACGCAGGAGACTCTTTTAAAGCGGAAGCCATTTTTTATTTATGGCAAAGCGTACTTCATCCCAGCCATTCCCTATATACAAAAAATGATATATTTACAGACAGAATACGAGATGGGATCCATGCGCGCCACAGTGTACAAAAATAAGATAAAAGCACACAGAGTAAAAGTGTTCGAATAAGCCCCGGTTTCGAGCACCTGTATCAGTTAAGACTCGTCGTTAAGGCTCACAAATTAAAACTTTGTAAAGTCTTGTGTCGTAAAATAGCTTCACTAAAACATCCACGGCTCACAGCAGCAGCAGGCACGAGCTGTGCATCATCCAAACCCGCACAGGCGACGCCGGGCCAGCGGTCCCAACGCAAGCCACATGGCCTGACCCGCCGCGGGGGCAGGGCGCCGAGGAACACCCCGCACCGGCGACCGGCTGCAGGGACAGATCGCTGGCTCTGTCGCTGTGCAGCGACGGGACAAGGGGGGCGAGATAAGATAAGATCATCCTATTGGCCGAATACAATTTCTTGCATGAGGAATTCGTCTTTTCGCAGACCCCAGCTTGCTCTCCATGAGACACACAGACAGGGAGAGAAGCTGCGGGTCAGAGCGCAGGGTCAGACATTTTTATACGGCGCCCCTGGAGCAGCTGGGGTTCAGGGCCTTGCTCAGGGGCCCAGCAGAGTAGGATTCCTCTGCCGGCCACGACAACCTTCCAGCCACGGGCGCCGATCCTGAACCAGAGAGCCACTGCTCCGCCCCAGAGAGAATCTGGCACACGATGACCGGGGCAGCAGAGCCACACTCATCGGGCAGCAGGTTGTAGATCCCGGCCCATCCAAGCAAGAGGAA